AGGTCCATGGCCAATCAGGAAGCTGGGCGGCATGTAATGACTCAACCCCCGGCTTCTCGATTGATCAGGAAGCTGGCCAATCAGGAAGCCGGGTGGCGAGTCATTATACACCCTCCAGACTCCTGATTCCCCAGAAAGCCGGCTCCATGCTTTCTCATCACCTGGTGACGAGGGAGCATGGAACCGGCTTCCCGGGTAATCAGGAACCCAGGGGGCGAGTCATTACACACCGCCTGGTTTCCTTAATGGGCCTTCCGGCATCGGTATTCAGTATCGGCGAGTACCGGGAAAAAAAATATCGGTACTCGATACAGAAAAACCGGTATTGGTGCATCGCTATAAAGAAGACCCTTGGCCCTAGGCCCAATCCTTACCCCAACCAAGCTATTTGGCACACTTAAACTATCCACAGTGTGTCCTTCTAATGGCCTCCTATTGGAAGGTGGGACAGTGTAGGAGGAATTGCTAGAACAATGTAGTCATATGACCCGTTGCACCAACATTTAGTAGTATAAGTACTGATTTGGTAGTGTGGAGAAGGTAAAGAAAAATAGATTTCCAAATATTGTGGCATTCATTCATACATTTCAGGTTTGTATTTAGCTATGTGAAAAGTTGGGTCCAAGAGAAGCTTTAAAGGGAAGATGAAATGAATGATTGGATATTACAGCAATGTTGTCATGATGTAAAAGTTTCACTCTTCTACCTGCTGCTGGTTCTGCCATTCTGAGATGTGTCCTCACCAATTGTTGTTGTAGAGAGACTGTGGACCGCTCCTGAGCTCCTCCGTATGGAGTCCTCCAATTCTCAGGGGACCCAGAAAGGAGATGTCTACAGCTTTGGCATCATACTTCAGGAGATTGCTCTTCGGAATGGGGTCTTCTACATGGACAGCAGTGACTACAGCCCCAAAGGTGGGTGTCCAACCAGCGTGCTGACTACACCAGGCGCCAGTGTTTCTTCTGTCACTTCCTGAACTCTCTGTTTCCGTTTTAGAAATAATAGACCGAGTAAAGAGCCAGGAGAAGCCGTACTTCCGACCTTCCACCAACCTTTACTGCCATATTCAGGAACTGGGGGTGCTCATGCAGAGGTGCTGGGCAGAGGATCCTCTTGACAGGCCGGACTTCAACCAGATTAAAGTTCTGCTACGCAAGTTCAACAGGTGATGATCTGGATAATGGAAACTTCTTCGAGCTGAACTTCTACTTGTGTTTATCTAAGACTTGGACAGGGAAGCATTACTTCAGGTGTTGTTCTAGTTGGTAATAGGGACCTAATGTGTGCCAAGAAACATACCCACCAGTCTGGACCACTGACATCATATGGGAGGCCAAGTAACATTTCCCATCAGTCTAGACCACTTTCACCACATAGGAGGCCAAGTAACATTTCCCACCAGTCTGGATCACTGGCACCATATGGAAGGCCAAGTAACATTCCCCACCATCTCACTATAGGAGGCCAAGTAACATTTCCCACCAGCCTGGATCACTGGCACTATATGGAAGGCCAAGTAACATTTCCCATCAGTCTAAACCACTTTCACCATATAGGAGGCCAAGTAACATTTCCCATCAGTCTGGATCACTGGCACTATATGGAAGGCCAAGTAACATTTCCCAGCAGCTTGGATCACTTTTACCATATAGGAGGCCAAGTAACATTTCCCACCAGTCTAGACCACTTTCACCATATAGGAGGCCAAGTAACATTTCCCACCAGTCTAGACCACTTTCACCATATAGGAGGCCAAGTAACATTTCCCACCATTCTGGACCACTGACACCATATGGAAGGCCAAGTAACATTTCCCACCAGTCTAGACCACTTTCACCATATAGGAGGCCAAGTAACATTACCCACCAGTCTAAACCACTTTCACCATATAGGAGGCCAAGTAACATTTCCCACCAGTCTAGACCACTTTCACCATATAAGAGGCCAAGTAACATTTCCCACCAGTCTAGACCACTTTCACCATATGGAAGGCAAAGTAACATTTCCCACCAGCTTGGACCACTGGCACCATATGGATGGCCAAGTAGCATTCCCCACCAGTCTGGACCACTGACACCATATGGAAGGCCAAGTAACATTTCCCACCAGTCTGGATCACTGGCACTATATAGAAGGCCAAGTAACATTCTCCACTAGTCTTGACAACTGATTCCATATAAGTGATCAAATAATACTTTCCACCAGTCTGGACCATTGACACTATCTTGGAGGCCAATTAACATTCCCCACCAGTCTGCACCACTGACACTAAGCCAAACGCGTTTTCGGGGAACTTTCCCTTCATCTTGACTCTGATGAAGCGGAAGTTCCCCGAAAACGCGTTCAGCTTAGTGGCAGTGAGACTCACTACGAGTAGAGCTCCTGGACATTCATACATTTGTGCAGCGGTTCATCCAGTGAGGACTACAAGTCTAATGTGTCACTGTTCTTGCTCCATTTGTGAGTATAAGTGTTTTTATATATACAGTTTTTTCAATAAAAGGATTATTGCACCAGGTTAGGCGCCTGGTGTCTTCCTTCTTTCATACTATTCCCCACCAGTCTGGACCATTGACACTATATGGGAGGCCAAGTAACATTCTCCACCACTGATATCATACAGGAGGTCAAGTACTATTCCCCACCAGTCTGGACCACTGACACTATATGGGAGGCCAGGTAACATTCTCCACCAGTCTGGACCATATGGGGTGGGTTCCTATAAAAAGGACATGTACCCCAAATTCTGAACCTCCATCTGCATGTTGCAGCAGAAATCAGACCAGGCAAGTTCTGGTAATCCATTGCTCCATGTAGCTTAATTTTCTTACTCCTAGCATGCACGAAGAACCCTGACTGGTCTTCTGCAGGACACACCCTGACTTGTCATTTCTAGTCCACCCCCTGCTAGGTTACCTGTGTTGGGTGTTCACCACCAGTCATGACCACTAACACCATATTGGACAGGTTAATAGAATTATGGCATGTACCCCAAATTCTGACCCTCCGTCTGCATGTTGCTGCAGAAACCAAGGTCAGACCAGGCAATGCTTTTCCATTATTGTCCGGTTCTGGTGATCTGGTGCTGCCTATAGTCTCATTTTCTTGCTCCGAACATGCATTCTCTTTAAGGTTCCTCGTGTTGGGTTTTCACAGATGGCCTGTAAAGAGCTGTTTTTGGAGAAGCTGTGGACTTGCTGTCCATAAACCAGTCTGACCGTACTTAGCTGAAGGTGTTTTCCCCACAGACCTGCTGCTACTAGACGCTTTTTCACCATTCTGTTACCTCCAGGACCTACAGTGTGCATTTCCCATTTCTGACCTCCAAATACTTTTTTGTCATATGCAGCTTATTGACAAGCCATTGGGGAAGTCTGCATGGAGGCAGCTTAGGGAAAACGTCACAGTGTATGAACCTCAAGGTGTCTGACAATACTGATGGTTCTCCTGGTTGTCATTAAGAAGTAGAGATGTACCGATACTAGTAAGCAGGGCTAAATGAACAGCGAGGAAGCCGTCGCTTGTTTTGTACAAGTAATCCCGGCGATGTCGCCAAGATCACTTGTATGCAGCCTACAGGTCTGCCATTCTCCATGGGAGGGTTTGGCGGGTAGGGGGACGCATTGAGGAACCTGGCCTTGGGGCAGCAGAGAGAGTGAATCCGGCCCTGCTTGTATTTCACCGTGACATACTGAATTTGAATACTTGCCTTTGCATTCTTAATGTGCCTCGGCATAGTAAAAGAATAAGTCATGAAAATATGAAGAAATAATAAGAAAAATAACACAAACAGTAAATAAAATGAACCAGGACTTGATGGTGTTAATGAGGGTGAAGAAGCACCCAGGTGGCAGAAAAGATCAGATACACCCCAATTCTCCATTTCTAACTCTAAAGAACATAAGAGTTTTTCTGTTGGTGGGCCCTAGGAGTGCGCTGAAGTCTATTTATGTCCTTGGTTGACAGGGAAAACAGCACAAACATCTTGGACAACCTGCTGTCCCGCATGGAGCAGTACGCCAATAATCTGGAGGAGCTGGTGGAGGACCGGACTCAGGCGTACCTGGAGGAGAAGCGCAAGGCTGAGGCTCTCCTCTATCAGATACTTCCTCAGTGAGTATGAGGCGGGGCTCTCCAAACTTTTCTTTATTTTGTTTCCTGCCTTTACATTACACGTCTCCAGCAGTACTGAGTATTCCAGGAGGGGAGAGTCAGATAGGGAAAGGAGCAGAGTCCTCCAGCAGAGCAGAGTATTTCAGGAGATGAGAGTTAGAGGAAGGAGCAGAGTCCTCCAGCAGAGTATTTCAGGAGATGAGAGTTATAGAGGAAGGAGCAGAATCCTCCAGCAGAGCAGAGTATTTCAGGAGATGAGAGTTAGAGGAAGGAGCAGAGTCCTCTAGCAGAGCAGAGTATTTCAGGAGAGGAGAGTTAGATAGACCAAGAAGCAGAGCAGAGTATTTTCAGGAGAGTTATAGAAAGCAGCAGAGTCCTCCTGCAGTTGAGGTGAGCAGAGTTAGATAGCGGAAGGAGCTGCCTGTTCTCAGTACGTAAAATCTTCCCGTTTCTCCCTTGCAGTCCTGTGGCTGAGCAGCTAAAGAGAGGGGAGACGGTGCAGGCCGAGGCTTTTGATAGTGTTACCATCTACTTCAGCGACATTGTGGGGTTCACTGCGCTATCCGCGGAAAGTACGCCAATGCAGGTACTCCAAAATGACAATCATTTCCCATACTTGACCCGGAATTCAGATTCAGGAGAAATAAACTCCCCGAGAGTCTCTTCTATCTCTCGGGGACTCTACTGGTGACATCTCTGCCCTGAGCTGTAGCCAAGAGACACAGGAAGCTGTCACCCGCCATTAAAATCTCAGTCTGGTGGGGAGTGACCTTTTATTTCTCCTGACTCCATATGTTCCTCCTTCCACCGTCTGGCATCCTGTTCCATTGTCTCATGGCGTTGGTTCCTCTTCCAGGTGGTCACGCTGTTGAACGATCTCTACACTTGTTTTGATGCCATCATAGACAACTTTGATGTCTACAAGGTAAGGAACACGGAGATTCATACTCCACTGGAAATACGATATTGCTTCCTTCAATGAACTGGGGTTGTTACTACTGCTCGTTTCAGGTGGAGACCATCGGTGATGCCTATATGGTGGTGTCCGGGCTGCCGGTTCGCAACGGGAAGCTCCACTCCCGCGAGATCGCACGGATGTCTCTGGCCTTGCTGGAAGCCGTCAAGACATTTAAAATCCGACATCGTCCCACTCAGCAGCTGAGACTTCGGATAGGAATTCATACTGGTGAGGGGGGGCGGGGGTCATATCACCTGCGCAAAGGGAACCTATCATCTTGTCTCAGATGAGGGTTCTGTCCAGTGCTGGTGGAAGCCATTGGCCGACGAGTGCAAGCAGAGCCAGTTCCGGCGCACAGTGACATGCCGCAGATCTAGCTTTGTTTCTGGGATCCACGTACACTTTAGCTATCAGAGTTATCACTTAAGGAAGAAATTCCAGGCAACAAATATAATCAGGTCAGCAAAGGGGTTCCTAAATAACTGAGGATACTACAGTAGGAGGGTCCACCATGGACAGTACTGCATGTCATACAGCTAAATGTTTGCGTCCATCTAGGTCCTGTCTGTGCCGGAGTTGTGGGCCTTAAGATGCCGCGATACTGCCTCTTTGGGGATACAGTGAACACAGCATCACGCATGGAGTCCAACGGCGAAGGTGAGATTGCCCGTCTGGATGAGGCACCTTCTATTGCCCATTCTTGTCTTCTTCTTGTAGGTGGAGAAGTAGATGTTTCTTTAGCGTCCTACATGAGTAAGTAGCATCATCTTTGATCAGGGTCACCATCTACTTCCTGAACTGAGATGCTGGCTCGGAGATGACACAATCATGTAAATCTTCATGCCTGTGCAGTTCCTGGCAATGTTCACAAATGTCAGCATAGAGCGGTGGCTCTCAACCTGTGTAACCTCAGGACCCATATTTGCCCTTGGTCATCAGGTCGTGACCCAAGTTGCACCGCAATGGAACGCATGGCATTGCGGTACCGATGCAGACAATAGAACTGTGGGTGGGAGATGCTTTTGAGGTGCCATTCAAATGCATGGCAATGCAACGCACCTCTCACACCAGAACGCTTGTTAGGTACAATTGCATGGTACAGTGCGTTAATCGCATGGGATTGTGTTATTAACGCACTGTACTAGTGTGAACGGGCCCTCAAAAATACTGTCAGACACACACAACCTCACACACACACACCTACGCACTATATATATATTTTTTTAATCCACCCAGTCTCTCTACCTTACAAGAACTGGAGTGGATCCTCAGCCTGGGGTCCGGTGTGGGCTGATGTGCTGTGATGGAACTCCATCCATATGTGCATCCGGTTGTATAGCTCCCTCGCACACCCTGTAGAGGTTCCAGGAGCCAGAATGTTACATCACTCCGGTTCAGGCACCTCTACAGGACACGCAAGGGAGCTGTAAGCAATGCACTTATGGATGGAGCTCCCTCGCCGCCATAGCCCACCCCAACTCAAGCTGACAATCGCTATCGGGCAGCATATTTTGAATGGCTGACAGTGCTGCACTAGGGGGAGGCTGAGATGCCTCTCACCTAGAAAAGTGAAGGCATGCAGGGACCCACTGAACACGAGGTTGCGACCCACCAGTTGAGAACCAAGGGCTTAGAGGTTATTGAAAGGTCCATTTTAAAATGTGTAAAAAGCACTTGTTATCTCCATTGCTACAGATTGTAAGATGGTCCATCATTGTATGTGACCAAGAACCTTCCATTCTTCTACCTTTCACATGGTCAAACCTTTTGTGTTTTGTAGCACTTAAGATCCACGTCTCGACAGACACACGGAACGTCTTACAAGAGTTAAACTGCTTTGAGCTGGAACTTCGAGGTGACGTGGAGATGAAGGTAATGGATATGTTGTACCTGAGCTCTATTCATCCTTCATGGCATGTCCAACGCTCCTCATATCTCAATCTTTCTCCTTTCCAGGGCAAAGGCAAGGTCCGAACGTACTGGCTACTGGGTGAACGAAGCAGCAGCACCCACGGGTGACACCTTGCCGGCCTTCACAGGGGATTATGTGACTTGGGGTACTCTCAATCCTCAGCAAGGCCGTGTTTGTACCTCACAGACGTCTCCACCTCGCAGTGGCAATTGACACTAAGGAAGGTGGTGGAGTAAACAAACAAAACGTGGACCAAAGGCGAGGAGGCTTGGACTTTCTCACATGTAGACATGCGAACCAGCACATGCAAACGTGCTGTCACCATGTATCTTAGCAATGACAAATGGAGCACTTGAGGGACTAAAGACATCAATGGCAAGGAGTTTTCTCCAAATTGTAAATGGTCTCCCCCAGTTGAAAGGCCAGATCCGCATTCGGTCCATAGATGTCCTGTCTAACACACTAAGTTAAGGCTTAATTATCTGAAGAATAGATGTACCTTCCTCCCCTGGTGATGTCCATGAAGAATCAAGGTCCTTTGCTATTGAGTAGCTAACGAGGATCTACAACACCAAAGTTCCCTCCCTCTGAACTGATAAGGATGGTATTAGCCATTCCCGGCTACCTCACCCGAGGTCTCTCTCTATCATGGATGCCTCCGTCACGGCCTTCGGCAAGACCACCCCTGACTTTCAGCTAGTTAAACCTTAACTTATTTCAGATCTCTATTCCTTGAGCTTTGTGAGGACCCAAACGTGACTGTAACCAACAGACCAATGGACCCCCCCCACGAGCCAGATGTTCAAGAACGCAGGGCCCGAAGGGAAATCTCAGCCTGTAAAGATTTTATGGGCTACAAATGTGAAGTGGACGCTCTTAATTTCCTGCTATAAATATTTCTAAATTCTCTACGGGTTCTAGTATTTTTGGTACCATATGTCATTTTATAGCTCTGCGATGGAAAGCTGTGGAGTTGGAAAGAGGTGGGTGGTAACAACTTTTTTCATATTGATCTAGAAGAGATCGACATCGACTTTCATTGGGGTCCAGTCCTCATTTCCCCAGTAAGGGGGCGTGCTATATGTATGCCAATTTTTCCTTTGATTGCTGGTCTGTGTGCTCTTACAGATCAGTAATATAAGGATTCAGACCATCTCAAGGTCATGGGGAAGGGGTTGAAAAGGGAGAACAGCCATAGAGCAATCAGAGTCCGCAAATAACAATGCAAATGGGTCCATTGTGGTGTGCCACAAACAGCCTTGCAGCGGTGTATGCCGAGGACCGCCGGACGTTAACGGCTAGGTTAGTTCATTTTCTAGTTGAAATTCAAGTCTTTAGTTTCAAAGGAGAAAGTCATTACCATGATTACAATAAGCCATTCACGATGCAGAGCCGGCACTTCCCCGCTGAGAAATAGACCGCCGTGCATACAGAGGACCTCTGGCCGCTCAGCCAGCCGCGCCTGTCTCTTTAAAGGTGGCGTTCATTATTAGGGAACTGTTTGGGGTGATTAAGTGAACGAGCGGCTGAGAAATTGCACAATTTGTGCGGATGTTTGTCTGTGGCGGAAATGAAAAGGATGAGAGAGGAACAGCTCTATGTACATTTTGTTCCCTCTGACACAACAGACTCATTCTCTGCTGCCCTTCCCTTCGTTTCTCTATCCGTCACTCTTTCACTTTATATACCCTTCTTTTATCCCCCTCTCACATACATTTGTCACTCTCTCTCTGTCTCTCCTCCTCACTCTTTCTTTAAACAGCCCCGGTGCTGGCGACGTACACTGTACGTCGTCAGTCACGAAGGGGTTAATGTCTCTCCTTCAGCCTCCCATACCCCCCTCCCTCTCCCTTACCCCCCTCTCCATTATACTCCCTTCACTCTCTCCCTTACCCCCCTGCCTTTGTCTTTCTCTTCCCTTCCCTCCATTTCTCTGTCTCGTCCTCGCTCTCCACCACTGACAGGTGACGTGGGCTCACATGATTATGAAGATAGGTCACCAGCCCTCAAAATGCAAAGAAAGTTGTTTTAATTGCAAGAAAACATCACACGGGTCTGAATGCCAACGTTTCAGGGGCCACGCAGGGTCCTTTCAACAAGGCGGCACAGTGACAAATGCATAAAGTAGTGAACCGATATATATACACATGAGCAAGTACAGATGCAGACCGTCTATGTCTGTACTTGCCAGTGCAGCCCCGACACATTGGCATTCAGACGAATGTGACCTAATATTGCAATGAGTCCTGGCGACCTATCTTCATAATAATGAGGTTCTGCACGGCGCCATCCTAGGGTTGCCACCTATCCAGGATTCACCCGGACAGTCTGGGTTTTGAATGCTGTGTCCTGGTTTCATGGCAGCAGAAACCCGGACACAAGATGTGAGGCAGACAGGGGCAACCAAAATTAAGATAGGAGCTACTGCCCCCCTCCCCCCAATGAAAAAAGTCTCAACTGTGATATTTACATATGAATAGGTGGAGCTAATTACATATGAATAAGCCGCGACTCATTCTCCCCCCCAAAATGTCTGCGCGTCGCTAGAGTGTTCAGGTTTCGCTTGAAGAAAAGGTGGCAACCCTACGCCATCCGTGGTGTTCACTTCGAGATCCTTTCCTGTTTCCATTGGTCACAGCGCTGTAGGGTGTGCAGCAGGCATCTACAACGACGCGGGCTCACATGAGGTGCAAGGTCTAAGCGGCTCCTCGGTCTTCACCAAAGCCCCCTGCAGAGGATAATGTGTCAGTAACCCTAGTGGCCACTAAACAGCTTTGCCGCAAGATGCTACATGGTTGTGGCCCTCAGGATCGCCTCACCAGTGGCTAACAGGCTATGATGAGAAGACAGAATGGCGGCAAGCAGATTGGTCAGGTTCTGTAGGAGGTCAAGGCTGGCAGAGGTCAAATCATGCAGCAGGCAAGCATAGTCAGCAATGGCAGAGTTGGGAACAGAGACATGAGGCACTAGGAGAGTCAAGAACAGAGACAGGAGGCACTACGAGAGTCAAGAACAGAGACAGGAGGCACTACGAGAGTCAAGAACAGAGACAGGAGGCACTAGGAGAGTCAAGAACAGAGACAGGAGGCACTAGGAGAGTCAGGAACAGAGACAGGAGGCACTAGGAGAGTCAGGAACAGAGACAGGAGGCACTAGGATAGTCAGGAACAGAGATAGGAGGCACTAGGAGAGTCAGGAACAGAGACAGGAGGCACTAGGATAGTCAGGAACAGAGATAGGAGGCACTAGGAGAGTCAGGAACGGAGACAGGAGGCACTAGGAGAGTCAGGAACAGAGAGAGGAAGCACTAGGAGAGTCAGGAACAGAGACAGGAGGCACAAGGAGAGTCAGGAAAAGAGACAGGAGGCACAAGGAGAGTTAGAACAGAGACAGGAGGCACTAGGAGAGTCAGGAACAGAGACAGGTCGCACTAGGAGAGTCGGGAACAGAGACAGGAGGCACAAGGAGAGTCAGGAAAAGAGACAGGAGGCACTAGGATAGTCAGGAACAGAGATAGGAGGCACTAGGATAGTCAGGAACAGAGATAGGAGACACTAGGAGAGGCAGGAACCGAGACAGGAGGCACTAGGATAGTCAGGAACAGAGATAGGAGGCACTAGGAGAGTCAGGAACAGAGAGATGAAGCACTAGGAGAGTCAGGAACAGAGACAGGAGGCACAAGGAGAGTCAG